ACAACAGTTCACAGCCAATATGCCAACATTGCACACATGTAAGTACAACAGTTCACAGCCATTATGCCAACATTGCACACATGTAAGTACAACAGTTCACAGCCAATATGCCAACATTGCACACATGTAAGTACAACAGTTCACAGCCATTATGCCAACATTGCACACATGTAAGTACAACAGTTCACAGCCAATATGCCAACATTGCACACATGTAAGTACAACAGTTCACAGCCATTATGCCAACATTGCACACATGTAAGTACAACAGTTCACAGCCAATATGCCAACATTGCACACATGTAAGTACAACAGTTTCACTGGACAGCTCTGTTAGAAATAAAACGATAGGCTATTTTATTACAATGATGGGCCGTGTGTTCAAGAACTCAAAATAAGACTGACAGACACTCTTGATCTTTCCAGGTGTTAAATAATCTTTCTCACCCATGCTCTAGCTCACCCACGCTCTAGCTCACCCATGCTCTAGCTCACCCACGCTCTAGCTCACCCACGCTCTAGCTCACCTACATTCATGATTCTCATGTTTTCCTATTTCCCACGGGTTAAACAATTTCCTAGTTTAACCATTCTCACCCATTCAAGTACATCATTCGTGTTCAGTGTCTGACCTCATAAATTATTAAGGTAACCATAAATGATCAGGGTGAAAATGACTGCTGACAGGGTGTCAGGTGTTGCTTGTTTTGAACACTTCAAGCACATCCACCACCGAGGACAGCTACCGTCAATGTGTGTAAAATTTAAAAAAACATCAATTATTCGATACTCACAAACAATCACGCCTTTGGTGCTTCCCAGTGCAGCACTTCTTCCTTGTACACAGGTCCATGTGGTGAATGAGCTACTCATAATAACAACATATTTGAGAAACGACATCATTCACATAACAAACCGTTAAAACAAGAAAGCTGCACATTTTCATCTGGGAGACAGTGTGTCGACCACATCAAACGAACATAAGCCAGTCTTCACGACAGTGTGTTTAGACGGAAAAGAAATGTATCTCATATTCCTAGAACATAAGACAGCCATGGGAATGGTAATGAAATCTTATACTCAAGTGAAATAGGGTGACCTTCGTGATAAGTAGCCTTTGAACAAATCTGAATGTTGTTTGGACACTTTGACCCACTCTTCTCCTTGAACAAAACTGTTATTACCAAACCTGTACACAGTTCTAATTGTGTCTTCAGCTTCTGGCATCCAAGACCTTCCTCTCTTCTGTCTGTGACCCTTAGCTCTACCTAGGGCTTCATGCAGGAGGTGCTTCTTGTCTGCCATCCAAGACCTTCCTCTCTTCAGTCTGTGACCCTTAGCTCTACCTAGGGCTTCATGCAGGAGGTGTTTCTTGTCTGCCATCCAAGACCTTCCTCTCTTCAGTCTGTGACCCTTAGCTCTACCTAGGGCTTCATGCAGGAGGTGCTTCTTGTCTGCTGCAACTCTGAGATATGACTTTGCTTGCAGAACTTTGAGCCTATCTCCAACAATCAGCAGTGCAAGTATGTATCACATACATACTATCAGGGTATCTCTCGTACATTCCAGAATTACCGGCATGGTTTCATTTTGTATGTGTTCATGTTGGCACAGTCAGCAAACAAGAATGGAACCTGTACAACTACCGCTCCAAACCTACAACTGTAGAAAAGTGGGTTACAGAGCCTGAAGGTTATTCTTGGTGGCATTATTTTGTTTTTGTTCACTGCCTTCCCTTTGCTGTGTGTGTTTATTGCATTTATTCTGTGTGGCTCTCTGTTGTAGTCTGTGCCAAAATACTATCATCAATTGGCCAAACCATTTGATCTTCTTTCTTAAATGATTTTTTTAGATATGACTGCTATCAGTCTTCACATTTTTCTGATTTCTTTATTTTTAATTCTGTAATTAAGGTTACTCTTTAAGCTCTTTTTAAACATTTGATTTCTAATGTTCAGATTGAGTGCACACTCGCTGCTGTAGTCAGAGTTTCTCCATTGTTCAGATTGAGTGCACACTCGCTGCTGTAGTCAGAGTTTCTCCGGTGTTAAGATTGAGTGCACACTAGCTGCTGTAGTCAGAGTTTCTCCATTGTTCAGATTGAGTGCACACTAGCTGCTGTAGTCAGAGTTTCTCCATTGTTCAGATTGAGTGCACACTCGCTGCTGTAGTCAGAGTTTCTCCAGTGTTAAGATTGAGTGCACACTAGCTGCTGTAGTCAGAGTTTCTCTATTGTTCAGATTGAGTGCACACTCGCTGCTGTAGTCAGAGTTTCTCCATTGTTCAGATTGAGTGCACACTAGCTGCTGTAGTCAGAGTTTCTCTATTGTTCAAATTGAGTGCACACCAGCTGTTGTGGTCAGAGTTTCTCCATTGTTCAGATTGAGTGCACACCAGCTGCTGTAGTCAGAGTTTCTCCATTGTTCAGATTGAGTGCACACTCACTGCTGTAGTCAGAGTTTCTCCATTGTTCAGATTGAGTGCACACTCGCTGCTGTAGTCAGAGTTTCTCCGGTGTTAAGATTGAGTGCACACTAGCTGCTGTAGTCAGAGTTTCTCTATTGTTCAGATTGAGTGCACACTCGCTGCTGTAGTCAGAGTTTCTCCATTGTTCAGATTGAGTGCGCACTAGCTGCTGTAGTCAGAGTTTCTCCATTGTTAAGATTGAGTGCACACTCGCTGCTGTAGTCAGAGTTTCTCCATTGTTCAGATTGAGTGCACACTCGCTGCTGTAGTCAGAGTTTCTCCAGTGTTAAGATTGAGTGCACACTAGCTGCTGTAGTCAGAGTTTCTCTATTGTTCAGATTGAGTGAACACTCGCTGCTGTAGTCAGAGTTTCTCCGGTGTTAAGATTGAGTGCACACTTGCTGCTGTAGTCAGAGTTTCTCCATTGTTCAGATTGAGTGCACACTAGCTACTGTAGTCAGAGTTTCTCCATTGTTCAGATTGAGTGCACACTAGCTGCTGTAGTCAGAGTTTCTCCATTGTTCAGATTGAGTGCACACTAGCTACTGTAGTCAGAGTTTCTCCATTGTTCAGATTGAGTGCACACTAGCTGCTGTAGTCAAAGTTTCTCTATTGTTCAGATTGAGTGCACACTCGCTGCTGTAGTCAGAGTTTCTCCGGTGTTAAGATTGAGTGCACACTTGCTGCTGTAGTCAGAGTTTCTCCATTGTTCAGATTGAGTGCACACTAGCTACTGTAGTCAGAGTTTCTCCATTGTTCAGATTGAGTGCACACTAGCTGCTGTAGTCAGAGTTTCTCCATTGTTCAGATTGAGTGCACACTAGCTACTGTAGTCAGAGTTTCTCCATTGTTCAGATTGAGTGCACACTTGCTGCTGTTGTCAGAGTTCTTGTTTGATACTGGTCACTTCAAAGTAGTGCATTGACTGGTACCCCCAAATTATAGTCCTGAAAAATGTTAATTCAAATAACAAGTAGAACCAGCTAGTTTCACCATTTGACCATCACAAATGACAGAATTAACTTGTGACTTCATCACCAAATTTTAGTCCAAATTATAGTCAATTATACATGCTGTCTTGTTTGTCATATAACAAATTTATTCTGTAAATGTCATGTCATGTAGCCAGAATATTTATCATTTTTGTGTTCCTTTTGTCAGTTCCTATAGAAATGGCAGTGTTTATGAGAGAACACCTCAACTACTGGTACAGTCTCAAGGCTTACTACCTGGCCAAGACCTTGGCAGATATGCCTTTCCAGGTATGCCCTGGTTTTAGAAGCAAGGTATCCACACATTTTGGCTGGGTGGTGTGGGGATTTGGAGGGGGGAGGGGGTGTTTGTGCTGGATGATTGGCTGATTGGCTTGTTTATTAGCTGGTAAGTTGGTTTACGTTTTCTAGCTGGTTGGGATTTTGTGAGTGTGTGCATGGGTGTGTGCGTGTGTGCATGCATGCGTGCGTGTGTGTGTGGTTAGGTTTTTTCAATTAGTTTTGTAAGTCAGCTGATTGGTTGGTTAGTTGGCTGTTTGTTTAGATTGGTTGGCTGGCTGACTGACTGGCTTTTTGAATAGTTGGCCGGACGGATGGCTGGCTTAATGGTTGTTTGGAGGGTTGGCTGACTGGTTGTTTGGATAGTTAGCCAGGCGGATGGCTGGCTGACTAGTTGTTTAAATAGTTGGCTGGGTGGATGGTTGGTAGACTAATTGTTTGGAGGGTTGGCTGGCTGGCTTATAATCCTCTATTCCTCTGTATGTTTTTTTCTGTTTGATAAATATAATGTTTGGTAATGTAACCTTTGATTACTTCCTGTATCATATTGTGTGAATCTACCGGTGAGATACTAGAGTAATGTACATTTGACTGATTAACTCTATTAAAATTGTGAATACATTTATAGGATGAAGTGGAGGGATAGATTGGGCTCTACATGACATATGTTAGGCCAACAAAATGATGATGATTCCACGTCAGCCTACAGATGTAATACTATTGTATTGTATTCTTGACTGATGTCACCTGTAACCTAGGGTATGATGACTGGGTCATGTGTCAATGATGTCTGGGTCATGTGTCAATGATGACTGGGTCATGTGTCAATGATGTCTGGGTCATGTGTCAATGATGTCTGGGTCATGTGTCAATGATGTCTGGGTCATGTGTCAGTGATGTCTGGGTCATGTGTCAATTATGTCTGGGTCATGTGTCAATGATGACTGGGTCATGTGTCAATGATGTCTGGGTCATGTGTTAGTGATGACTGGGTCATGTGTCAATGATGTCTGGGTCATGTGTCAGTGATGTCTGGGTCATGTGTCAATGATGACTGGGTCATGTGTCAGTGATGTCTGGGTCATGTGTCAGTGATGTCTGGGTCATGTGTCAATGATGACTGGGTCATGTGTCAATGATGTCTGGGTCATGTGTCAATGATGTCTGGGTCATGTGTCAATGATGTCTGGCTCATGTGTCAATGTTGTCTGGCTCATGTGTCAATGATGTCTGCGTCATGTGTCAATGTTCCTCTATTTACAGATCATCTTCTCACTGATCTATGGCAGTATTGTCTACTGGATGACGTCACAGCCCAATGACTTTCTGAGATTTGTCATGTTCCTGACACTGTCGACACAAACTTCTTTAGTTGCTCAAAGCCTGGGACTCCTGATTGGCGCAGCTACTTCTTTGGAGGTACTCATCAATGATGTGGTGGAAGGGGCTGCCAGTGAGAGAGCGGAAGGGTTGTCTGTTAGAGAGCGGAAGGGTTGTCTGTAAGAGAGCGGAAGGGTTGTCTGTTAGAGAGCGGAAGGGTTGTCTGTTAGAGAGCGGAAGGGTTGTCTGTTAGAGAGCGGAAGGGTTGTCTGTAAGAGAGCGGAAGGGTTGTCTGTTAGAGAGCGGAAGGGTTGTCTGTAAGAGAGCGGAAGGGTTGTCTGTTAGAGAGTGGAAGAAGCTGCCAGTAAGAGAGCGGAAGGGTTGTCTGTAAGAGAGTGGAAAGGGCTGCCAGTGAGAGAGTGGAAGGGTTGTCTGTAAGAGAGTGGAAGAAGCTGCCAGTGAGAGTGGAAAAAATTTCCTAGGTTAGAGTGGAGCAGTTTGCCCATGTTAAAGTGGAAGAGGTTGTCTGTGACTGAGTGGCAAGATTGTCCATGAGAGATTGCTTGTGCTTTTGAGTGGTGTGTTCAACATCTTCCTGACCACCTTTACTACCTAGGAAATTTCCTGGTCGCATGTTAGACTTGACCAAATGTGGGTCATGAGCCTAAGTATCTAAGGCCATATGTTTAGTGCGTCGCTAAGAGCTGCAAGTTAAAATGTTTTTTTGTGAGGTCCCAACAGAAAAGAATCTCCATAATTTCACAAGAATTCAAACTTGGGTCTCCTAAAAGCCCAGAATTTTCACGACCTGGCCAACCCTCCCCTATCTGAGAACAAATTTAGAGTACTAACGTATTCACACAGTATTTGGTTGTATGCATGTAAAATTTGAGTCTGTATGTGAGTGTTTTAAGTCAGGGTTAAATAAATATGATCTTAAAAATAGCATGATTAACAACAAAAAAAAGCATTGTTTTGAGAGGACAACTTCATGAATATCAGTTGCCACTCACAGAAATGGAGGAAAGAATTAAAGTCATGATGCTGAGTCAGCTGATGAAGGGAAGTTCCACTCACAGAAATGGAGGAAAGAATTAAAGTCATGATGCTGAGTCAGCTGATGAAGGGAAGTTCCACACACAGAAATGGATGAAAGAATTAAAGTCATGATGCTGAGTCAGCTGATGGAGGGAAGTTCCACACACAGATAGTGGACTCAGTAACTGGGAAGGTCCACTTTGCATGGAGTTACTTTCTTTAAGTCCCAGGAAATGAGGGTGTTGTTGGCAATGAAGGAGCAGATAAGTTGGCATGCACTGCTATAGTTGCAGATGGCCAGTATGTGGATTCCTGACATTGTAAATGCTCGCTGAGAGACACGATGATGGAAGGATTTGGGAGTAGCATCTTCACATCGCTGGCCAAATGCAAGAAATGAGAAAAAGATCAGTACGGCCAAATATGAAAGCTACACCAGATGTACAAGAAGTCTGGCCAACCAGGCATAGGACTGACATAATTAATCCTTACACACTGATGTGTATGTTTATGAGGGAAGCCAAGCACTCACTGATGTGTCCAGAGTACGTGAAGATAAGCCAGTTCATAATTTAGAGACATAAGTTTACGCACAGTAATGTATTGATTTGTTGGCGAACACATACACAAATGACAGCATAATTATTCTTATAACAGACATGGTGATATGTGGTCTGATTTTTCCAAAGTTTTCTGTAAAATTGTTTTTAAATTTCAGGTTGCTGTGTTTCTGGGACCGGTTACTGGAATTCCTGTGATTTTGTTCAGTGGATTCTTCGTTCATTGTGGCAATATACCCATCTACCTCCAGTGGTTAAGCTACCTTTCATACACAAGGTACAGTCAGACACTGTCAGTCTCCTGTTTCTCTGTCTGCCATCTCTATAATGAAAGGTTGCTGCAGTGGAAATGTCAATCAACTTCTGATTTTAGAAATCTGTTTGGAAATATGTTAAGGGAGCTCTCTGACTACCATACCCCCCCCCCTTTTTTCCCCACACCCCCCCCCCCCCCTATACTGTATAAAAGAAACAATCACATAAAAAATAAAAATTGGCTTGTGAAAGAAATTGTTGTATAAAAGAAATCGTCATATAAAATAAAATGGCGAATGAAAGAATTATCCTAAAGGAAATTCTTACATCAAAGAAACCTAAGAGGGCAAGGCAGACAGTTTGATCTCTTGACAGCAGCATCTCCTTGACTGTTTGTGTTTTGAGAAGATGACAACAGATTCAGTTTGATTTGCCGAGGCTCTTCCTTATTTCACAAGGGTCCAGTATTGTCTAGTAGATGACACTGGGAGGTGTGCTAGACAGCAATTACATTCTGCACTGGGACAAGGATCCTGTACTCTCTAGGAAATCACACTAGGAGGTATTTTAGGCAGCACTTAAACTCTGCACTTATACAAGTTTCACATGTTCTACAAGATGATGATGACGAAAATATTCATACATTCTATACATTTTTTTTTTAAAGTTTGGTTAAGGTGGAGTTAACAAAAAAATTGAGCCTTAGTAGAAGTGTTTGAGAACACCTTTACGGTGGATTTCTGCACAATCAACCATGCAAATAGCAGAGAATGGAGAGTGAAAAGCAACAGATTATTCATAATTTGTTTAAAACACCACTAACTACTGGCATCTTGTAGCAGGTCCTTTGCAGGACGTCGCTCTCATCACAGTCTGCCTAAAAAAAACTTGGTCTCTCACCAGCTCTCCCACCTCATGTACTTTCATACTCAAGGAGTCACTTATATCTTGTACCCATCTTCGTGTTGGTCGGCCCCTGCCCCTCCTTCCTGGTACCATGCCTTCTGCTATTATTTTTTCTAATCCGTTGTGGCACTTGAGGGATAACTGGCTGAAAAGGCTGGTGCATATATCGAGAGAATGATGACAGAGACACATTGATTGTGTACACAACAGAGTTGAATGTGAGTAGACAATGAGGCAAACCAAGGACACGCTGGAGAGACTTCCTGCTTGTGCTTCCTGCTGGCCAACTTCAGGCAACAACTTGCTGATCTGTGCTTCCTGCTGGCCAACTTCAGGCAACAACTTGCTGATCTGTGCTTCCTGCTGGCCAAGCTACAGTGAGACAATATTATTGGAGGTGGAGTAAGAAGATAACAGAATAAGAAGATACATACCAGTAAAAAGGCATAAGGAGTATCAGGAAGAGAGTGAGTGAGGATAAGAATATCAGTGAGAGAGTGAGTGAGAATGAGGGGATCAGTGAGAGAGTGAGTGAGAATGAGGGGATCAGGGAGAGAGTGAGTGAGAATGAGGGGATCAGTGAGAGAGTGAGTGAGAATGAGGGGGTCAGTGAGAGAGTGAGTGAGAATGAGGGGATCAGTGAGAGAGTGAGTGAGAATAAGGGGATCAATGAGAGAGTGAGTGAGAATGAGGGGATCAGTGAGAGAGTGAGTGAGAATGAGGGGATCAGGGAGAGAGTGAGTGAGAATAAGGATAGCAGTGAGAGAGTGAGTGAGAATGAGGGGGTCAGTGAGAGAGTGAGTGAGAATGAGGGGATCAGTGAGAGAGTGAGTGAGAATGAGGGGGTCAGTGAGAGAGTGAGGGAGAATAAGGGGGTCAGTGAGAGAGTGAGTGAGAATGAGGGGATCAGTGAAAGAGTGAGTGAGAATGAGGGGATCAGTGAGAGAGTGAGTGAGAATGAGGGGATCAGTGAGAGAGTGAGTGAGAATGAGGAGATCAGTGAGAGAGTGAGTGAGAATGAGGAGATCAGTGAGAGAGTGGGTGAGAATGAGGGGATCAGTGAGAGAGTGAGTGAGAATGAGGGGATCAGTGAGAGAGTGAGTGAGAATGAGGGGATCAGTGAGAGAGTGAGTGAGAATGAGGGGATCAGTGAGAGAGTGAGTGAGAATGAGGGGATCAGTGAGAGAGTGAGTGAGAATGAGGGGATCAGTGAGAGAGTGAGTGAGAATGAGGGGATCAGTGAGAGAGTGAGTGAGAATGAGGGGATCAGTGAGAGAGTGAGTGAGAATAAGGGTATCAGTGAGAGAGTGAGTGAGAATTAGGGTATCAGTGAGAGAGTGAGTGAGAATGAGGGCATCAGTGAGAGAGTGAGTGAGAATGAGGGGATCAGGGAGAGAGTGAGTGAGAATGAGGGGATCAGGGAGAGAGTGAGTGAGAATGAGGGGATCAGGGAGAGAGTGAGTGAGAATGAGGAGATCAGTGAGAGAGTGAGTGAGAATGAGGGGATCAGTGAGAGAGTGAGTGAGAATGAGGGGATCAGGGAGAGAGTGAGTGAGAATGAGGGGATCAGGGAGAGAGTGAGTGAGAATAAGGGGATCAGCGAGAGAGTGAGTGAGAATAAGGATATCAGTGAGAGAGTGAGTGAGAATGAGGGGATCAGTGAGAGAGTGAGTGAGAATGAGGGGATCAGTGAGAGAGTGAGTGAGAATGAGGAGATCAGTGAGAGAGTGAGTGAGAATGAGGAGATCAGGGAGAGAGTGAGTGAGAATGAGGATATCAGGGAGAGAGTGAGTGAGAATGAGGGGATCAGTGAGAGAGTGAGTGAGAATGAGATCAGTGAGAGAGTGAGTGAGAATGAGATCAGTGAGAGAGTGAGTGAGAATAAGGATATCAGTGAGAGAGTGAGTGAGAATGAGATCAGTGAGAGAGTGAGTGAGAATGAGATCAGTGAGAGAGTGAGTGAGAATAAGGATATCAGTGAGAGAGTGTATGAGAATGAGGAGATCAGTGAGAGAGTGAGTGAGAATGAGGAGATCAGTGAGAGAGTGAGTGAGAATAAGGGGATCAGTGTGTGAGAAAGTGTTGGTAAAGATGTTTACAGGGGAACTATGTGAGTTCTGTGGTCCCACTGGGAAAGGGGGAGGGGTTGGGGGGTCCCTGACAGAGCATAAGCTGTGACTAATTAGGGCTTTGCTGAAGTAGGGCTGAAAGGCACAGATATCACAGCTTAGCTGTAAACTACAATACAATGTGCTATCCACCCTTTTAAGGCTGAATGCACAAGTTTTCAGGAGGTAATTTTGAGCATTTGTTTAGGTGTTCACTGAATTGGGAAATAAGCAGTTATGGGTGACCTTTGGCCATGATGGTGGAACCATGATGCTGAAACCATAGTGTTGGCACCATGATGTTGAAACCATGATGTTAGCACCATGATGTTGAAACCATGATGTTAGCACCATGATGTTGAAACCATGATGTTAGCACCATGATGTTAGCACCATGATGTTAGAACCATGATGTTAACACCATGATGTTCAGACCCTGATGTTAGCACCATGATGTTGAAACCATGATGTTAGCACCATTATGTTGAAACCATGATGTTAGCACCATGATGTTGGAACCATGATGTTAGCACCATGATGTTAAAACCAGGATGTTAGCACCATGATGTTGAAACCCTGATGTTAGCACCATGATGTAGAAACCATGATGTTAGTACCCATGATGTTAGTACCATGATGTTGAAACCACAATGTTAGCACCATGGTGTTGAAACCATGATGTTGGCACCATGATGTTGAAACCATGATGTTAGCACCATGATGTTGAAACCATGATGTTAGCACCATGATGTTGAAACCATGATGTTAGCACCATGATGTTAGCACCATGATGTTAGAACCATGATGTTAACACCATGATGTTCAGACCCTGATGTTAGCACCATGATGTTGAAACCATGATGTTAGCACCATTATGTTGAAACCATGATGTTAGCACCATGATGTTGGAACCATGATGTTAGCACCATGATGTTAAAACCAGGATGTTAGCACCATGATGTTGAAACCCTGATGTTAGCACCATGATGTAGAAACCATGATGTTAGTACCCATGATGTTAGTACCATGATGTTGAAACCACAATGTTAGCACCATGGTGTTGAAACCATGATGTTGGCACCATGATGTTGAAACCATGATGTTAACACCATGATGTTAGCACCATGATGTTGAAACCCTGATGTTAGTACCATGATGTTGAAACCATGATGTTAGCAAAATGATGTTGAAACCATGATGTTAGCAAAATGATGTTGAAACCATGATGTTAACACCATGATGTTAGCACCATGATGTTGAAACCATGATGTTAGCACCATGATGTTGAAACCATGATGTTAGCAAAATGATGTTGAAACCATGATGTTAGCACCATGATGCTGCAACCATGATGTTTTTACCATGATGTGGGAATCATGACTGATGACTAATGAATGATTAATTGATGATAATGGTGTTGAAACCATGATGATAATCATGATGATGACAAATTTAACACAGATGACATTAAGTTACTTATTAATTGATTGATTTATCATCCTGTATTTCCTGCCAGATACTCATTTGAGGGGGCACTACAAGCTATTTATGGCCAGGATCGCGGAGAACTAGACTGTGATGAGAACCATTGCATCTTCCGTGAGGGCACCGATGTCTTGAAGACAATGGATGTGGAAAATGCAAAATTTTACGTTGACTTCATCGTTTTGTGTGCATTCTTTGTAGTTCTGCGTGCTGGTTGTTATCTCGTTTTACGATGGAGAGTCAAATCTCATCGGTGAGACAGAGGCATGGATTTGTGTCTTTGTTGACTCGGAGGATGACAGAACATGACATTTTCACAGATCTTTCAATGAGTGTATTATTAAACTGTTGGAACTCTGCGTCCTGTCCAACCCAACAAGTCGATACATGCCATTCCAGCCACAAAAGTGTTGCTCAAGATATTTATAATTCACGATCTGGCAACAGTCTCTCACTGATCTCCCCCGATGTGGAAAGAAGTCTAGATTTTAGCCATTTGATTTCATTGTCTCGATGGACTGAGATTTGAGCCAGATTTTCAGGTCAACCCAGCCTAAACTGGGCACCAGGACATTTATTGTGAAGTAATGTGGCTGGGCATAATTGTGACCACAACTCTCATTGACTGTTGGTTGGTCTCACATGTTGAACTAGAACCAAACAGCCAATAGTCTGCACAAGAAGCCCTTTATTTAACTCTATGTACTTCTGTGTTTGTGTGACCCTGACAGACATTGGGTCATCTGTTGTTTGACTGGTCCCTTTTCAACCCCTGTAATGAACATCTGGCAGAAGCTAAGGGTTAGACCAGTCGCCAGATCCCGTTGTCATTGTCGTGCAGAGTTCTAGGTCTTCATAAATGCAAGGTCATGACCTACGAGGCTGGTGGCAAGTTCCTTGAACTGGAAATAAATGAGATTATTAACCCAAAAATGACTTGCTCAAATAGAAACAGAAAAGATGTATATTTTTTCAATATTGATTTATGTTTCAATTATTATGAATGTATAAATCCTCAACATCATCATCATCAAGTCCAGGCTTTTTTTTTTTAACTCTTTGAGTCCCAGGATGTTTAGCATCACAGGCCCAGGATGTTTAGCATCACAGGCCCAGGATGTTTAGCATCACAGGCCCAGGATGTTTAGCATCACAGGCCCAGGATGTTTAGCATCACAGGCCCAGGATGTTAAGCATCACAGGCCCAGGATGTTTAGCATCACAGGCCCAGGATGTTTAGCATCACAGGCCCAGGGGGTAGTCAAGAGAGTCATAAAAGCAGCGCATCTTGTGTTCATTGGGCTTCTAGGTAGGAACCTATGAATGTATGATGCGTTTCTTGGGACTCAAAGAGTTAAACTGGTCATGAGACAACCTGACGATCGTATTGCACTGATGTTGTCTTGGGCCACTCTCCTTAGTTCTGTATGTACAGAGTGAATGAGAAGTGTGCTCACACATTCCATTGACTATACTTCAGAAAGCAATGAGCGACTTTCCAAAGCATGGCTGATCGTGCTGTGATGTGATTGGTCAGCAGTTTGAAGCAATGTCAAGAATTGTTTCATCAGTGCTGTCATTTGCCTAGCCAAAATACTGTCATTTGCCTAGCCAGAATACTGTCATTTGCCTAGCCAGAATACTTTCATCTGATTAAACATGTACAATTCAACACCTAAACACATTTCTTGATCAGACTCTAGACCATTTTTCCCTGGATCTTCAATTAATTCTTGCTCCAAAAAGGCATCTTAGGGCTGACATTCAGGCAATGACCGACTTTCTCATGTTCAGAAAACCATTTGTTAAAGCATAGAAATCTACATTTATTCATTTATTTATAGGTTGGATAATTCAATATGTCTGTTGTGTGTTTTGATGGAAAAACAAAATCCGTCACTTTGGCAGACGACTGTAACTAAAGCTGCCATCTGGAAATGGGCTTGTATTACAAGCATCTTGAGAAACCAGTTTAGGGCTCAGTTTCAAGCTTTGCCTTATTTTAGAGGAAACACAGTCTCAGCATCAATTGATCTGTTCATCCCATTCTTGGTCTACCTCTCTTTCTTGTCCTGCTATATTGTGCCTTTTACTGTTCACTTTAATGAGTCTGTACTGAAGCCCAGTTGGAGGTACAGAATACTTACAGTGTAATCTTCCATGCATGTCATAAGAGGCAATATAGGAGAGCTGGTGTGAGACTGACTAGCTTATATGTAGAAAACAGAGGGTCAGCCACAATTTTACAAAAGGTGTGGTGTGAGTTTGTTGAGGATCTATGTTTTATTGGGAGAAAAGAAGAAGCATTAGCAGCAGAAAAAGGAGGAGGAGGAAGAAGAGGAGGAGATGGAGGATGGAGTAGAAACAAACAGAAATAAGAAGAAAAAAGACTAGAGAAGGAAGCAAAAGAAGAAATAGGTAAAGAAAGAGGATGAACAGCAGGGTGAATAACAAAAGGAGAATCTATTGTGCAGACCACAAGAGAGGGCCAAAGAGGCTTGCAGTGAGACCATCTCATAGGAAAATGGATCTACATAATCCAGCCAATCCTGAACAAGTTGATCAGGGATTGGTGTAAGTTAGGGACCTTCCCTCCAGTAGGAGATTCAGAATAATGAGGATGATTAGAATTAGATGTAGATGTTTTGTAGATTCTTTTGTTTTTTTTTAAATTTTTTCCTAACGCTGTTAGCACTGGCAGAAATCTTTTAATAAATACATTCCAGTAGACATAAATAATTGAATATGTTTATTTTCCATCATTAATAGCTGTGACTGTTAGAGATGATCATTAGATGTGATAGTAAAATAGTCAACACTGTGATTTTAAACAGTTGAACATTAAAAGAAAACTCACTTTAGTCTTCTGTGACTTATGTGAAGAGTCATACATCGCTGTACTCTCTGTTGTGTCGTGATTTATGCTGAACATTCACACATCACTGTACTCTCTGTTGTGTCGTGATTTATGCTGAACATTCACACATCACTGTACTCTCTGTTGTGTCGTGATTTATGCTGAACATTCACACATCACTGTACTCTCTGTTGTGTCGTGATTTATGCTGAACATTCACACATCACTGTACTCTCTGTTGTGTCGTGATTTATGCTGAACATTCACACATCACTGTACTCTATTGTGTTACGATTTATGTTGAAAATTCCTACATCACTTTTCTCTATGTTGTGTTATGATTTATGTTGGATATTCACACATCAAATTTTTTCTCTGTTGTGTTATGATTTATGTTGGATATTCACACATTACTGTTCTCTCTGTTGTGTTATGATTTATGTTGGATATTCACACATCACTGTTCTCTCTGTTGTGTTATGATTTATGTTGGATAATCACACATCAATGTTCTCTCTGTTGTGTTATGATTTATGTTGGATATTCACACATCAGTGTTCTCTCTGTTGTGTTATGATTTATGTTGGATATTCACACATCAAATTTTTTCTCTGTTGTGTTATGATTTATGTTGGATATTCACACATTACTGTTCTCTCTGTTGTGTTATGATTTATGTTGGATATTCACACATCACTGTTCTCTCTGTTGTGTTATGATTTATGTTGGATAATCACACATCAATGTTCTCTTTGTTGTGTTATGATTTATGTAGGATATTCACACATCAGTGTTCTCTCTGTTGTGTTATGATTTATGTTGGATAATCACACATCAATGTTCTCTCTGCTGTGTTATGATTTATGTTGGATATTCACACATCAGTGTTCTCTCTGCTGTGTTATGATTTATGTTGGATATTCACACATCAATGTTCTCTCTGTTGTGTTATGATTTATGCTGAAAATAACTAAATTGTTACAAGTGGATTATCAGCTAATCCTGACAAGTGGAGGAGATATGTTAATGGAGTCAGCACCTGTCACATCTCAGATGAAAGCTTTTCACATCAGAACCCTGTTCTCTTCTAATGGCTTGAATGTACATGTGTTATCTCATTCTGTAATTATAACTGAATTAATTCCTGGTTCTGTTGAATCCTTGAGTCTGTAAAATTTTCCGGTTAAAACGGTTATTCAACTTGAATGAATTGAGAGCCAGTCTGCCCACTTTCAAGCATAGTTTGCCTGGCTATGCGGATGTGACAATATCAGGTTGTTTCATCAACTTCCTGTTTTGTTTCAGGCACTTGAATATCAACCAGGAACTAAATTCTCAAGTATCAGACAGTTTCAACAACTGACTTTCCAGATTATACAACAACATAGTTAAGTTCTCATTTATATTTATCTTTTAATTATCTGCACCATCTGTTCATTTTGGTGGTCTTTTGTCACACATCTCTCATCTCACAGCCTCATTAGCCCCCCCTTATGGTGATGTTTAAATTGGCTAAAGTATTCCAGTTCCTGAGACATGAGGCTGTTTACGAGCAAGTTTGTCTCCAATATGAATTGTCTACCATGTCTGTATTATTGTTTATTCTTAATTCACTTTATTGCAAAGAAAACTTGTTGTAACCTGTCAGTTCAAAAGCTTCAATGTTTCTGCAGTTTGTGTGAAGTCACTTCAATGTTTCTGCAGTTTGTGTGAAGTCACCCTCAATGTTTCTGCAGTTTGTGTGAAGTCACCTTCAGTGTTTATAGTTTGTGTGAAGTCACCCTTAATGTTTATAGTTTGTGTGAAGTCACCCCCAATTTCCGTTAACACAGGAAAGATGTAATATTTTCAACAAATGTGTTTGTTTCCTGGTGTTTGGCTTTATTTTGCCTTGGTGTAACTTTAACTTACACACACAACTAGGAACTGACTTCTCTCCTTTCTCTCCCCCCCTTCCAGGCCAACAGTTGTTGGTTCAGATCCCTCAAATAGTGGCTCATTTTCTGGACTCTTCTGTAAACATCACAACACATTAAACCAGCACTGCACTGACTGCTCAGCCATGTCGCTACTCATGAACACTTAGATTTACACATGAAAAACCTCATTGCCAGTGGTCACAGATACAGGCAGAAAACAATTTAATTTGTCGTTACAGAATATACAGTCCAGTTAAAGTCTTTCAACACAATCAGTTAACCACATATACCTAAGAAATCACAAAATTGTTTCAGTTAAACATGACAGGGACTGACTGACTGACTTTCCACCCCACCAGGACATCACACAAGCGATAAACACCAGATGACACAAAGCGCCACCATGTGGATGAGGATCACCGTGGATAGGTCCCAGAAACCGCGTTCAGACAATTGGCCATATTTATGGCCTGCCTACATT